TGGAGGTTGCTGTGAGTTATAACTCCATAGCACTCTGCAGAGGGTGACAAAGTAAGTCTCTGTCTCAAAAAAAAAAGATGAAAACTTTAATAGAAAGATGTGCAAAAAGCATAGAGAATTCTCAAAAGAAGTTTCAATATACATAAGAAACATCATCCAAACACACTAGGAAGCTAAGTGAGTTCCTTTGCCCATTAATCAGATTGCTAATGTTTATTTTTATTTAAAAAACTTTTTTTTGACATGGTCTCAGTCTGTTGCCCAGGCTAGATTGTAGTCACAACGTTGTAGCTCCCTGCAACCTCAAACTCCTGGGCTCAAGTGGTTGGTCTTCCCTGCCTTAACCTCCTAAGTAGCTGGGATTACAAGCATGTGCCACCACCCCTGTATAATTTTTCAATTTTTTTTCGTAGAGATGGATTCTCACAGTGTTGCTCTGGTCAGTCTTGAATTCCTGGCCTCCAGCAATCCTTGGCCTCTCAAAGTGCTAGGATTATAGGCATGTATCAGCATGCCCGGTCTAACCCTGCTCACTGCGGGTCTTGTGGTAAATCCTGGCACTTAAAGTCAGTGTTTTTTGCCCGTAGCTCAGTGGCCAGGGCACCGGCCACATACACCGGGGTTGGCAGGTTGACCCAAGCCTGGGCCTGCTAACAACAAAATAGCTGGGCTTTGTGGAGAGCATCTGTAGTCCCAGCTACTTGGGAGGCTGAGGCAAGAGAATTGTTTACACCCAATAGTTTGAGGTTGCTGTAAGCTGTAACGCCAGGGCACTCTACCAAGGCAGACATAGTGAGACTCTGTCTCAAAAAAACAAAAAACAAAACACCCTTCCACGTACAGACACCCCAAATGACTGTTGTTCCTTTCCAGAAACACTGAAAATTGGTCCTCAATTTTATCTAACAATACAGGATTCATTCACCACCTATTTGTTGTCTGCCACGCACCGAGAAGGGTTTGTGATGGGGTGGAGTGGGTTGAGATCCAGCCCCCTTAGTAGCATTTGGAAGGGTTGAGGCCCCTGGGGATCTTCCCACTGCCTTGGTGGTGCTACAGTATTGATCACCTGCCTGTTGTAGACACCAAACATCCTGCACTGCATGGAACCGCCCAGTGTTCCTTATATTATTTCTCAATTATTCCCTCCCCCTTGGCTGTGCCTTGATGTGAGTAAAGCTCCTCACTCTACCAACTTTGGGACACACGATTTGCTTTGACCAGAGGGGAATAAGGGCGGATAGGACACCGTGCCAGCCCTGGGTGAGGTGTTAGCAGTGTTGTGTTCCTGCACGTGCTCAAGCCCAAACCATCCACAATGACATTTGTAAGGGTGCACAGCTGCCTCTACTTGGGGCCATGAATGAGAATGAGCTGTGGGACAGCACAGCAGACCTGAGCCCAAGCCCAGCAGAGCCCCAAACCCCTGAGCAGGATGGCAGTGTTTTCATCGTCGGTGTTTGTTATGAGCTGTGAGCATTGAGAAGTGCAAATTGTTAAGCGTCGTTATCATGCGTGACCTAACACATCACACAAGGAAGAACTGTCCCCCCAAATGCCATAAGCACACCAGAAAACGGAAACAACCCAAATTTTCACTTGATGGATGAATGGCAAACAGGGTGTATTATTTGTCCTCATGAGGAAATTATATTCTGATGCATGGATGAACAATGAAGATAATACTAAGGGAAATAAACCAGACACAAAAGGGGAAATATTTTAAGAATGCACTTATATGACGTAACTAGAACAGTCAGATTCATACAGAAAACAGTCTTGCACATGTGTTTGGTAATCTTCCTACTTTAAAGTATTACTAATTCTGACTTGACAAATGAGGAAAGGCACTCCCAGGAGATGTTTATTAAAACTACTGCAGATTTTCTTTTTTTTGAGACAGCCTCAAGCTATCCCCCTGGGTAGAGTGCGGTGGCATCACAGCTCGAAGCAACCTCCAACTCCTGGGCTCAAGCGAGTCTCCTGCCTCAGCCTCCTAAGTAGCTGGGACTACAGGCGTCCACCACAGTGCCTGGCTATTTTTTGGTTGCAGCCGTCATTGTTGTTTTGGGAGGCCCAGGCTGGATTTGAACCCTCCACCCTAGGTGTATGTGGCTGGCGCCTTAGCCACTTGAGCCACAGGTGCCGAGCCCTCATTGTAGATTTTCAAGAAAAAATGCTTTGGCAGACCCCCTTCTGTTCTTGCTACAATTTGGAAAATCACAGTCTAAGAGTTGGCGTGCATGGCCATG